AAACAGAGCGTTGCCGCCCGTGTTCCCCCACGTCGGGACCGGAGGTAGAAGCAGTGCTCTGGGTTGGGGGCCTCGAAGCCTAAGCCGGATCTGCGGACTGTCCTTCAGGCTAAGAGGTCCGCAGATAGAGCTCCAATAGTCAGGAGTGTAGGACTAGCAAGGGCAGGCCCTTCTGGGGCAGAGAGGTTCACACCGTATTACATGGTGCCCGTCTCCCCCCGGTGCCCTCTGGCTAAAGAAGGAGGCCATCGAGGTGGTCCCTCTGCATGAGATAGACTCCGGGTTCTACAGCCGTAACTTCATTGTTCCGAAGAAGGATGGGGGGTTACGTCCCATTTTAGATCTGCGCCTATTGAACCTCTCAGTCATGCGACTGAAGTTCAGAATGCTCACACTCAAGCAAGTCATGTCTCAGATCAGGTCCGAGGACTGGTTTGTCACGATCGATCTGAAAGACGCATATTTCCATATCTCCATCCTTCCTCATCACAGGAAGTTCCTGAGGTTCGTTTTTGGGGGCAAAGCGTACCAATATCGTGTTCTTCCTTTCTATCTTGCACTCTCACCCCGTACTTTCACGAAGTGTGTGGATGTTGCCCTGGCTCCGTTGCGACTCCAGGGCATCCGCATACTCAACTAAATCCCATTGCGGCCTACCACGCCCCTCTCGGTGGCATCTCAGTGGGGAGAAAAATGTGTATGTATATTTAATTTGCTGTTGTTGTTTTAGATCCCTTCAAAAATGATGTACAACAGATACTTCATTGTTTTTTATTTTGCCATAATATATTTGGAAATTATATACCTAAAATGCAGCTTCAATGACAAAGTGCAACCCTGGCCCAAGTACAATTTCTGTAAAGTGACCTGAAACTCTCAGAGACTGGCCTGGGCCTATGAGAATTCACTATACATCGCTTGCTTAGAAGCTATGCTCATATATCTATGATTTATCATTTGAAGCATCCAGGTAGAACTTTCTGGTTAAAGTTTCAATCTAATGACAGTTTGACCCAGGAATGCTCCTCTTGACATTTTCGGTTTTAGTGAGGTGACACTCTTGACATAAACTGTACCTTGTGCATGATGGAGCAAAAATTTGATATTTTCTGATTGTGGCTCATAGCTGAGGTGTGTGTAGCCTGCAGTGTGAACTGAGTTGTGTTTTTTGTTTGGGGGAATCTCAGAAAGGCTGTGGCTGGAAATATTTTCACTAAACCTGGACTCAAGGCAGAGCAAATATTTGTTGTCTGGTGGTAAACAGGCATCAGTCAGGGCCTCAGACAACACCATTTCCTGTCTAGACTGTGCTTTCTATGTACCAATATCTGTTATCAATCACTAGGAGCATTACAAAAAAACAGCCTAGTTCTCACCCACCAATAAGACTTTCAATCTTTTTAAGATTTTCAGTTGGAATTATATTTATTTTACAATGAAGTACATTGATTATTGCAGATTTATTGATTAAATGTAATGATTTATTAATTAAAGTACTTTACAAGTTATTTACAAATTGTATTACTTATGCGGTTAAATGTGCATTTGGACAATAATTAATTTCTTTTTTTATTTGTCAAGCTTTAAGATTGTCATAACCTTTTATATCGGACAAATTAATTAAAATACATTCATTTAGTTGCACCTGCACCTTATAAAAAGCCTATGTACTGTATATAGCTTCGCTATAAAACATATGCATCACTTCATAACAGCTTTAATTAAATAAATTAACTTTATTGCATTATATGGTGCTTAAGAGATCATTAGGCGCGCAGTGCTGCTGAAAACTTCTTGCCTGAAGGATCCGGAAGCGCAGATGCCTGTTTTGTGACCTCACTGTAATTTTATCTATAGATGATAAATGGAATTGAGAAAATTAATTTCCTTCTAAATGTAGGGCCGTATCACTTTGTAACCGCCACCGTCACCATGGTTATGTTGTTAAGTTACTAGCACATGAAATGGCTTAATAATCTGTATAGTCATTTTAATCAAATTAATTTCTGAAGACATTGTAAAGAGGTGATGACATCATAAAATGCATTACAGCCGCCATTCATCATTGTGATTTTAAATTATGCCGAGTGATTGCTCTATGATGCGTTTGCTTAGGGGACAAAGAACTGATAAAGGAGTTTAATTGGCTTGGAAAGGGCAGGCGAAGTAAGAGTGGCCGATGAAGAGAGACCTTGCGTGACCTTTCTCTGCCATTGTATGCGACCAGACCCGTATTTACAGTCTGACGATGATTCATTCCAATTTAGCTGATAGAGTCTTCATGTTTGGTTCTGGTTATCAGAAGATTTCTCCTCTGAAGTCAAATGCCAGCGCTGTGCCGTGCATCAGATCAGAGAAAGGAAGTGGCTGATGGGCAGCATTTATTGGCTGTTGCTGGACGTCTTTTCTTGGTGGCATCTGGTTCTGATTGATCTCTTTGGTGTTTTGTGGTGTGGTTTTGACTGGTCAGTGTTCAGCTGTTGCAAAACCCTGTTGATTTACTCAACATGGCAGTATTTGGAGAGATCCATACAAGCCTTTCATTCTTGGCATTACAAACAACCGTGCCTTTTCATGTAGTATATTTAAATGAATTTGTTCACTTGGATTCATTATTCACGGTTTGGAAATGTTATGAATTGCATCTACCGCTGACGGCGCTTGCATGAGAATGTAAATTTAGTATTTATTTTATTGAGCTGACACATTTCTGTGGCACTGACAGAGATATCATCACTGATATAATGTTTGGGGATGAGAATCTGCATTATCAGATTGCACACAAGATTGTATCCATTAGATATTAGTTGTGTGTTATATCGAATTTCAAATTCAAATGTTAACCATTATGTAGTGTTTACTTCATGTGTGCATTGATCCATGAGGAGCCCGTTAAGCACGGATGGGCAGTTGTTTCTCTTTTTTGTATGTGTGTGTGTGCATGCATGCATATGAAATAAGTGCAAAGAGAATGATGAATATATTAAACTCTATAACAACATAAGCGTGGGAAGCTCATCAATCAGCCTTACGGAATGACTTTAATTTGAATCTTTGCATGGCTAGAATATGCTCTCATGAATAAAGGATTTAACTTGGTCATGAGCTGGAACGTGTGTTAACAGAGCGTGCAAACGTCCCACGCAGTTTGTCCGTTTAGGATATAAAGGCGCCCTCCTCCGAGCCAGCTGTTTAAAACATTCTCAGTCACACATGGGCAGCTGACATGACCTGTAATTTTACTGCCTCATTTTATCTCTTAATTGAGATGGACTTTTTATTCTAATTGTGTTTCATATCTCTTTTTATTGCAATAAAATGTACAGTTGTGATAGTTCTCATCACTTGTAAAATTGTTAATTTTATTTGAATGCAGCATTTAAGTATTGCAATTATCTTTTAAAGTGAGTGGTCATTAATTTACATACTCTCAAAGATTAAAAAATAAATCAAAAGTCTATATTGTTTTTTGACCAATTATTAGTCTTGTGGAGTGACTTTTGAAAAAAATATATAAAAAATGAAATGGAAGTTTATTAAGCCTGTAGAAAAAATATTTCTAAAAGATTTTTTTTGATTATATTATTTGGTACATATGGCTTTTATGGGCTATTCGAGGAGGAAAAACACCTCAGTTATATTCAGAGGCTTAAACCTAACAAAAATATGCGATTTAGTGTAGTCGATGATGTTTACAGTATATAGCCAACAAGTAAGATGACATTCTGATAGCGTGTATTGTAAATCAGTGAGATAGCATAACATAGCATACTACTTGCACAAAATGCATATAAATATCAGTTGTCATTCGTATCTCCTAAGATGATATGATCAAAATTCTGTAGTTTTTATTGGGGGAGACTAAAAAATGCAGTGCAATGCAATACAGTAGCTGTTTAACACTGGATGGAAACGTCAATATGCACACTAAATTTGAGATCAATTGTTGTGGGTCATTTGTTGTTATCTAATAAGAATACATGCACATAAAATATACTGGAAACACATTTACCATATGAATTCCTCGATGCGCAACAAAAACTCTCATGTGACTTTGCCTCAACAAATCATCGCACACAAATCTCATTGCACACCATCTCAATGTTGTTTTTAATCATTCTGAAATGTCTGAGCCAAATTCTGTCATCAAAACGATTTGGTATAGTTACCTCCCAGAACTGTCTCATACGATTGCATTCCCAAAGTTTCCCCAGTTGAAACTACTTTCATTTTTATTATTAATAATTTACGCCAATTTCCCAGGAATTGACGATTTTGTTCTCTTGAACACATGGGATAGAAATGGTGCTTTATTCGCACATTTTTAGGCTATATTCTAATTTTCCACGCAAGTTTAATTCGAAACTTTGGATGGAAACGTAGCTAATGATGATTGAGAAATGTCCAAATGAATGTCCATTAAAAGTCTGATGTAATATATTTGATATATTAAACATAATTTTCTAAAAAATGATGAATGGATAATTAAGTAAATCGTTTCAGTACAGTATGTGTTCATCTTGAAATATTACTATCAATATAAAAGTTATTCTTACGTTTATTTTATAAAAATCAGTAAAGATTTGACAGCAAAAAGACGTGTATTACAACCTGAGGGTGGATATTTTTAGTTATGCTTTTACTTGCTTAATAACTGTCAATTAGACAACAAAAGGCATGAAGAAGATAAAGTAGTTCAGTTTATTGAATTGTATTTTGAAAATTCTATGTATTGCAATATTTTACTCACACATTTCTGAATGTGGAACTAGTGCTGAATTTCCTGCTTTACTTCATTGCAGAGCCTTCAAAATAGAGTTGAGCATTGGCACATTCCAGTAAAAATAATATGATTCTGACACATGGCGCAATAGCGCTTCGGGCGACCTGAGTTTGAGTTCCAGCTCATGGTCATTTCTCGATCCCATTCCTCTCTGTCCTGTCCAGTCGTTTCCTGTCTTTCTCTGAACTGTCCTCTCATAATAAAGGCAGCAAGGCCAAAAATATAGCCTAAAAATTGCACCATGGGAATAGTGCGCCTTGGTTAGTAGTCGGTGTCTAAATAAATAAATAAATTATGAGGAAAAAGATGGACTATTGCAGTGAGAATATCAATTCAGTATAGTAACATATTGCAATACTTTGAAATACCGAACAAAAAGGAATTCATGTCTATTACGTCCAACATAGCCTGTAACCTTTGAGACTGGTCAGGAAAACAGATGTAGACGGTCACGAACAGTTTGAAAGCTCATTTATGATTGTCGTATCTCACCTCAGCCTTACATAGATCCCACCTGGACAGATTGGGCCAGGTCTGCCTGCTGGTTTAGCGAGCTCTCATGTTATAGAAAAGGTCACCATGAGGAGCTAATGGCCATCATCACTGTGCCAAATTAAGGCTCATTAGACGGACCACATCCCGTGGGCGCTCGGTCTTACATCAGAACAAAGAAAGCCATTTTGACCTGCAATAATTGCCTTGATTGCATCATCATCTGCTTGCAACAGAACGGCTTGAATTCCCGATTCATTTGAGCATGTTTTTGATAAATGAATGTCCCTGTAAGATAAATTACTTGTCTGTCGTAGCACAAAATGTAATGTAACAGAGGGGGGGTGAAACTGGAAAGTGATGTATGTCCTTCATTGGACACAGAACATTTAGTTTTTATTAAGAGTTTAACACGTACACGATACATTATTGGAGGTTCAATAGCCGTAGCTTTGCTTCTCACTGTATTTCACCCTGATGAATTAGCAACTCAGCACACCACGTAAAATGACAAAAGGAAATGAGCAGAGCAGCATTATTATGACGTGTTGCACCAGGCCTGGCGAGGCTGGGTAATGTCTTGGCGTGGAGGCTTGATGTTTATTACTTTGGCTAATGTTACCTGCGTGGTTGTGGTTTTCTGCAGGAGGAGATGAGGAAGGTGCTGGAAAGGTCAGCGCTAGCCTTGCTATTTCATTAGCAGATATGTGCTTTTTGCGTTCTGTGCCACAGGCCCGTTGTGATAGGAAATGTCTTTAACAGCCAGTTTTCTATTACTTTGTGAATTAATATCACAGTCCAGAAAAATTAGATTAATTATGTGATTGTGACCTCCATTCTATGAGTTTGAAGATGTATAGTTGTTTGAAGATGTGATTTTTGTGTGTATGTTTGTGTACACAGATGTTTGTGTCGACATGTCAAGCAGCCTGATTTCATTTATATATATATATATATATATATATATATATATATATATATATACACACACACACACACACATACACACTGTTCAAAGGTTTGGGATCAGTAATTAGTATAGTATTTTATTATATAGTATTTTTTATATTTTTTTAAAGAAGTTTCTTATGCTCATCAAGGCTGCATTTATTTGATCAAAAATACAGAAAAAAATTTAATATTGTGAAACATTATTGCAATTTAATATAACGGTTTTCTATATTAATGCACTTTAAAATATAACTTATTCCTGTGATGCAAAGCTGAATTTTCATTAGCCATTACACCAGTCTTCAGTGTCACATGATCATTCAGAAATCATTCTTTGGAAACAGTTATGCTGCTCATTTTATTTTATATTATTTTATTTATTTTTTATTTTATTTGAACCTCATACATTTTTCAGGATTCTTTGATGAATAAACAGTTAAAAAGTATTTTTTTTAAATAGAAATCTTTTGTAGAAAGCTGAAATACAACAAAAAAAGAAATTTGATGAGATGAAAAACTTATAAATGAACAAAAATGTAAATTAGAAATGTTGCGTAACTAACTGAAATAAAAAGCTGAAGTGCTTAAATTCTTAAAACTAAAACTGAAATAAAAACAAAACAGATTTTTTTTTTAAATGTCATGACAATAGCACATTACTAAAATATAAAAATAAAAGCTAACTGAAAATACAAATATTCATAAATAGTACATAATAATACATAATTAATAATAAAATGAAGTCGGCAAAAATGGTTGAATGCCTGACATCACTTACAGCAAATTTGGCTCAGTGTGTAAATAATGCGCTGACTTTGAGGAAGTTTCTATCTGTAATTTTTGCAGATGAAAATACACACCCTTAACTTCCAATCTAATATAATTTAATGTCATTCGCACCCTGAACTGGCTTTTTTCCAAACCTGTTTAGTGTTTTGCACCTGCACAAGCATCCCATTGTTCAATTCTGATGAAATCAAGATTGAAGTTGTTGGAATTTTAGTCTACGTTATATGCGAGCAAGTTATGCTTCATGGCTTTGACGTTATATTGGCTATTTGCACTCAACAAGTGTCTAAAAACAGAGCAAAACTCTGTAATGAGAAACATGCAGAGGGAATAACTAATTGGCAAAATTGATCACTTTAAAAATTGAGTTCAGTCCTGAAGGCTATCAGACATGTAGTGTGTGTGTTTGTGTATGATGCACAATGGTGTGGGACCTCCAGCATGGAGAGGGAATAAACAGCCAGCCGAGGCTGCTTGATTGCTCTGGATTGTGGGAGGAAAAGGATAAATTAGCAATTCATTCTTAATTACAAAGACCAGAAAAACATTGCAGCTAACAAATGAAGCAACAAAATTACTGATAGGGTGTGCTCCGTTTCCGCGCCGCACTAAAGAATCGTTCTCCCGCAAGTCGCAGGGCCAAGCTCTGATTAATGATGATTTCTCATTGAATCGCTCCAAACATTTATGAATCCAGCCGCCTCGGCGCTCCTTCCATAAATCTATGTGGGGGAGAAACATTTCCGCCCACAAAGTCACGCAGATCTTTGATCCGTAAACAGCGCCGCGCACCCCACCTGATCTTGCTGCGCTACCGGGGGTCGTCGAAATAAAGAGCCAGTTCACCTCACGTTTAATGCAGCTTATTTGCGACGGCGTTTGTCAGTCAGTGAATGGCTGGCAGTCACGTCACCATGTTCGGCCTGGGCGTAATAAAGAGTTGAGTTAAAGCCCTGGATACAGGGCGTGCCGAGCGTGTTTTGAAGTGCCATGGTCATTCAGCAAGAGGGATTTATGGCCTGCAGTCCATCAGCTCTGATCTTAAAAGGCTGTGATTAACAGCAGCGAGAGTAGAGATGGGATGCGGCACTGCTGTAGGCAAACCTGTCAAGGCCATACCACTCAGAAGCTTTTTACTCGGCCTGTTAACAAGGGGACTCACTCTCTCTTACACACACACACATTGTTTTTCTGTGGGGGGTGGAAGATAGTAGCATATGTCTCTTTCAGGATGGAATAAGACCTTATTCAGGGGCTCTTGAACCTATTTTTTTAACAACTGTATTTTGTCTTGAAATTGACTGATATTTAATTCTAATTATTTAAATAAATATATATTTAAATCTGAGAGACTACAATGCCTTTTTAATATCTCAAATATTTTTCTTTTCTTTTTTATCTTGTGAGAATTATAAACTAATGTATTTACTCATTTGTCCTTCATAAAAACGTTATAACTATCTGGGATCCCAGGAACTGCAGGTGTAAAAATTATATTAAACATAATGATTTTTTATATACTAAAATGTGATTTATTTTTATTTATTTTTTTGCTAGTCAAATTGAAGCAAAAAGAAGCAATTTTTTGTTACATACTCGCACGTGTGTGTGTGTATTTAATTTTAAGTTTAATTTTAAATATTTTAATCTTTTTAAATACAATTTTAATTTGTCTGTTTATTTTATTTGCTCAATAGGTTTTGGCTATTAATTTGATTGTAATATAATATAATTAAATCTGTTCTAAGCCCATAACAACTGCATTTTGTCTTGAAATTGACAGAAATTAACTAATCATTTTTAAATCTAAATACATATTTAAATCAAGATATTCCAAGGTCTTTTTAAAAATCTAAATCAAAAGACAGGTTGATCGTTTGATTTGATTGCAAACTATTCCATCATGTAAAAAATGTTTAAATAATAAAATAAAAGTTATGTTTGGTCTCAGAGACTCCAGGTTAAAATATGATTAAATGTAATAATTTTTTTACATGCTAAAAATGTTATTGATATTATTTTCGTCAGAATGTTGGAGTCAAAGCGAAGCAAACAGAAACAGTCTACTGGATTAGAGTCTCATTTATGAAAAACGGTCTACTTTGTGATTTAAAAACAATTACTGTTAAAGCTTCAATAATATCTGTAAACTACTAGTTTTTAGTTGGGATGGTAAATAAAAGGTTTATTTTCAAATTCCTGTAATAACTTTTACTCATTAGCATCTCAAATAAAAAAAATGCATGTTTTCATGTCGACTTAAATTTGAAGTGTATTAAAACCATTTGTTATATTTTTAAACACTTGAAAACTTTACATTCAAGAGTATTCTGGCAGGTGTAAGGATGAAGTTCAGAAATAAGAAATGAAAGATGAAAAAAATGAAAGAATAATAGCTCACACAAATCACTGTGCAAGTAGACTGAATGAGGCTTGCATTTATGTGTATTTATCCCAATGAATTTGGTAACAACATTTTTAATTGTTGAAACGTTTTAAGTATTTATTTCTCGTAATTTAATGTGCAGTTATTGAACATTTTAGATCAGTTTCTCATTGTGACATATGTTGCTTACAATATTTATTTAAACCTAGCCAAGTCAGTACACCCCCATCAGTACAATCCCACATCACTCAGGCAAAAGCACGTACTTTTAACGCCACACCATTAGTATGATCTCCCAGACTTGCTGTAGCGGAGACGTTGTGTCAGCTGTGGTTGGCAGAATATCTGTATTCTACCAAATACGGATGCACAAAATTAGTATTGCACTCAGGTGCATGTCAAAAGCAATCTGTCCACTCACAGTTTGAAATTAAATCAGATACACTCATTATCTCTTTGCACTACTAAAAGGTTTCAGGCATCTGAACAACCACAACCTGTCCCTAAAGTTTTATCTCACTTGCTTGCACAGGTGGAGAGCACGCGGCCACTGTAACACATCCACTTCCTGCGGCCTTCTCCGACCTGCTGCCACACTTCCTGGTGGAGCCTGATGATGTTTATATCGTTAAGAACAAGCCAGTGACCCTCACCTGCCGCTCAACCCCTGCCACTCAGATCTACTTCAAGTGCAACGGCGAATGGGTTCACCAGGATCAGCACTTGATCGAGCGTGACGTGGACCCTGCCACAGGTAGACCCTCTCAACACTCTCTCCGAGGGCGACTAAAGCCGGCTGACCCGCAGCATTTATAAAATGACACTAGAAAACAGGAGTGCCTATAAAGGATGCTTTCTAGGCGTGATGCTCTTTCTTCTTCTGTAGTATAGCACAAAATACAAGGACTTCCTTCAAAGCAATTTTCAAAATGTCTTCTGCCCATATCATGAAGAGGGCTTGCTTTGTGCTCAGGGATTGGACTGTTGCATTAGTGTACTGTCTATCATAAAGGGCCGGTTTAGTTTGGATATGTCTTGGTTTTTGGAGAAGAGGCAGCAATATTAATAATTAAACTGCAAAAAAAAAATGTCAGTTTTGTAATCTATTAATAATATAATTTAATAATAAATGCCTTACTGTGATTTTACTCTATAGTTACCAGATGTTGCTATGCACACTGAAAGCTTTTAAAAAACTGTAGTAACAGCAGTATTATATAAGTATTATATGTTCTATTTATTAATAGTAATCATTTAGCTTAACCGTAGGCTGTTCATGGTTTCCAAGCAACATTACGGTCAAAGTTAATTCTGTAAACTTGGCAAACTAATATATAAGTATTAGGCAAGACATTATGCATAATGATGATGTCATACTCTATACAGAGGCAATATAGAGTCAGATATTTTTGTATGAATAGCCTAATGAACAATTTTGGCCTTACATAATGTAAGGTCACCTAATGAAGAGTTTGTGACCCATGATAAATGATAACGGATTGAAAGCCAGATGTTCTTTATCGACATTTCAGGCAGCTTATCATGTGCAATGACTGAAAACATTATCTTTAAAGGGGTCATATGATGTTGCTAAAAATAACATTATTTTGTGTATTTGGTGTAATGCAATGTATTTATGCGGTTCTAGGTAAAAAAAAACACATTATTTTCCACATACTGTACATTATTTTTACGATTTTTACAAAGCTCATCGTTCTGAAAAGCAAGGTGTGCTCTGATTGGCCAGCTATTCAGTGCATTGTGATTGGCTGAATACCTCAAGCGTGTGACGGAAATGTTACGCCCCTTACCGTGTTTCCGTGTGTCCCAGCGCGACGAGACAAAACCAATAAAACCCATTACAAACGAGGCATTTGTTGCATCCAGTGGGGATATAATTACTGATTATAATGACTTATACTGTGTTTTTACGCGTTGCGTATTGCGCCGCGTAAACATAAAACCATGTCTGCATTTGTGATCGGAGAAATGACATACAACAAGCACTACTCTACACTGCTCAAACTCGCGTTTAAATCATCAGTGACAAATAAATATAAAATATAAATAAATAAATATAAATATAAAATACATACTTACAGGCTGTGAGTCAGAAGTGCCAGACCGTTCTTGCAAAGTTGGAACTGCCCCACTTTATAGAAACATTATGTCCTCTTTTGGAAGGCCAAACAAAGTAGATTTGCTTTCACAACGAAACGCACAGCGGCTTGAGTGAGCGGAGACCGGCGGATTCGACAAAGGAGGCTTGCGGCAACCACATGTGACGAGCCCGGGCTGGACTCTGCTTCGTCAACGGTGAAAGCCGATCAGGCGATCCACAGCGCAAAGTTGATGTATTTCCTCAGCGACCAGCACAGATCAGCTCTAGGCATGATAAAGCAGATATGGTCCTCTTTTGGATGGCCAAACAAAGTAGTTTCGCTTTCACAATGAAATACACAGCATCTCCACAACATGGTGGCGGCAGCAACAATACTACAGCAAGAATAAAAGTTATGCCTTCTTTCTTTACGTGAACATTTGGGTGGCGTTATGTAAATATTCCCACATCGTGACGTAGACATGTGGGGGCGTGTTAGAACGAGCCGTTTTAGGTAGGCGTGGTTGACTCTTAAATCTTATAAAGAATATCTCTTTGGATTTGAGACTTTAATCTTTGCAACTTTACAGATCTTCTTTATGCACCAAGAGCTTGTAACACTCCAAAGAGAAAGGAAAAATTGAAATCGCATCAAATGACCCCTTTAATTTGAGAAACTGTGAGAAAGTCGAGTGGCTCCACAAAATTAAAGATAATATTTTAATAGAGGAATCTAAATAACGCTTAGATAACTTTTAGATAATATATTTGAAAAATAAATAAATAATTTAAAAGTTTGAAATGAAGTTGTCTTGCATTATTGTGTGGGCTATTACACAACAAAAATTATCCCATAGCACATATTTATCATTTTATGTTTCATTTTAACTCCTTTAATAGATTTTTCCTGTTTATTTTATGTGCGCAATATATTTTAATATACTGTTAATTTAATTGTAATAGTGCCATTAATTTGATCGTTTGACGTTGTTACCATTGTAATTATATTTCAAACAGCTGTTACTAGCTTTCTATCTTGGATGCCACCAGTTTTGTTTTACATCTCTTTATATCACTGCAATTATTATCAAATCTCATTTACTCTGTAATTTAGGTTGTAGTAGAAAATATATCAGATGTTTGTCTACCTGTTAGCGCATGTGAGGACAAGCAATATGCAGTGCAGTAGGAGTTGCTATCTCTCAACTTGAGAATTGTTGGTGTAAAGCAATATGGTGGCCCAATAGTGCACAACACAACAAAATCTCCACAACACAAAAGAAACAAGTCGCAACACAATGAAATTAGCACAACACAATGTAAACAAGCTGCAGCGCAACAGAAACAAGCCACAGCACAAATTAGCACAGCACAACAGAAACAAGCCGCAACACAATGAAATTAGGACAACAAAACGAAAACAAGCCACAACACAAATTAGCACAACACAACGTAAACAAGCCGCAACATAATGAAATTAGCACAACACATCAGAAACAAGCCGTAACACAATGGAAACAAGCCACAACACAACGAAAATTAGCACCACACAGCGGTAACAAGCTGCAACACAACGGAACTAGCCACAACACAATGAAATTAGCACAACACAATGGAAACAAGCTGCAACACAACGGAAACAAGCCACAACACAATGAAATTAGCACAACACAACAGAAACAAGCCACAACACAATGAAAGTATCACAACAGAAACAAGTCGCAACACAGCTAAATTAGCACAACACAACGAAGCACAACAGAAACAAGCCGCAACACAATGAAATTAGCACAACACATCAGAAACAAGCCGCAACACAACTAAATTAGCACAACACAATGGAAACAAGCCACAACACAAATTAGCACAACAGAACGGAAACAAGCCGCAACATAATGAAATTAGCACAACACAACGGAAACAAGCCACAACACAAATTAGCACAACAGAACGGAAACAAGCCGCAACATAATGAAATTAGCACAACACAATGGAAATAAGCTACAAAGCAACAGAAACAAGCCACAACACAAATTAGCACAACAGAACGGAAACAAGCCGCAACATAATGAAATTAGCACAACACAATGGAAATAAGCTACAAAGCAACAGAAACAAGCCACAACACAAATTAGCACAACAGAACGGAAACAAGCCGCAACATAATGAAATTAGCACAACACAATGGAAATAAGCTACAAAGCAACAGAAACAAGCCACAACACAAATTAGCACAACAGAACGGAAACAAGCCGCAACATAATGAAATTAGCACAACACAATGGAAATACAAAATTAGCACAACACAACTGAAACAAGGCGCAACACACCATGGAAACAAGCCGCAACACAGCTAAATTAGCACAACACAACAGACACAAGATGCAACGTAACAGAAACAAGCCACAACACAAATTAGCACAACACAACGTAAACAAGCTGAAATGCAACAGAAACAAGCCACAACACAAATTAGCACAACAGAACGGAAACAAGCCGCAACACAACGAAATTAGCACAACACAACTGAAACAAGGCGCAACACACCATGGAAACAAGCCACAACACAAATTAGCACAACAGAACGGAAACAAGCCGCAACACAACGAAATTAGCACAACACAACTGAAACAAGGCGCAACACACCATGGAAACAAGCCACAACACAAATTAGCACAACAGAACGGAAACAAGCCGCAACACAACGAAATTAGCACAACACAACTGAAACAAGGCGCAACACACCATGGAAACAAGCCACAACACAAATTAGCACAACAGAACGGAAACAAGCCGCAACACAACGAAATTAGCACAACACAATGAAATTAGCACAACACAATGGAAACAAGCTGCAACGCAACAGAAACAAGCCACAACACAAATTAGCATGTCCTATGCGTTGTGGAGATTTCGTTGTGTTGTGCACTACTACAACACACCATGGAAACAAGCCACAACACAACAAAATTAGCACAATACAACGGAAACAAGCCGAAACACAACGAAAACAAGCCATAACACAACGAAAACAAGCCATAACACAACGGAAACAACCAGCAACACAATGAAATTAGCACAACACAACGAAAAAAAGCCATAACACAACGGAAACAAGCTGCAACAGAATGAAATTAGCACAACACAATGGAAACAAGCTGCAATGCAACAGAAACAAACCACAACACAATGAAATTAGCACAACACAATGGAAACAAGCTGCAACGCAACAGAAACAAGCCACAACACAAATTAGCATAACACAACGGAAACAAGCCGCAACACAACGAAATTAGCACAACACAATGAAAACAAGCTGCAATGCTACAGGAACAAGCCACAACACAAATTAGCACAACACAATGGAAACAAGCCACAGCACAATGAAATTAGCACAACACATCAGAAACAAGCCGTAACACAATGGAAACAAGCCACAACACAACGAAAATTAGCACCACACAGCGGTAACAAGCTGCAACACAACGGAACTAGCCACAACACAATGAAATTAGCACAACACAATGGAAACAAGCTGCAACACAACGGAAACAAGCCACAACACAATGAAATTAGCACAACACAACAGAAACAAGCCACAACACAATGAAAGTATCACAACAGAAACAAGTCGCAACACAGCTAAATTAGCA